TTAACAGTTGGGCTGATATGCTAAAAGGAATTGATGATTACAATGAGATGTCCACATTTAAAAGACGTTACTACTTCATCAATATTCTTTGTTGGGTAAGATTTATAAATAGTACAATGTACAAATAGTTGTTCAATTAAATTATTTGTGAGTTGTTTAACACGTTATATTTTACATATTTTAAATGTGTAGTCCTCTGTAACTCTTCCAAATCTAGAGTATGCACGTCAAACAGAAATAGACAGACACATACTAGACTTCGAAAATTCAAAATATGTTATTTTTCTAATGAATTCAAATGGTCAGAAAGAAAATTGTGTTTCTGGACCACTGGAATCTGCTTGTATTGAATACTGAAGAAAGCGTCGAGACACATTATAACTCATTAAGGCCAAGGATGAAAGGCAGTCGGGATATGTACCTAGAAGATGCAATCATATTAGTTTGATTATGTTAAAACAACAATGTTAAAAGCTCATATTAATTTGGTGTCTATCCATAATCTTAAAGTTTTTTTGTAATTGTAGAAAAAAAATGTCGAAAAAAAGATTATGGAGTTCAATCATTCGAAAGGGATCGACAAAGACACACAGAATAAGGAGCTACCAATCATATAATGTCGAACATGTTTACAACAAAAGTCAAACTCGTAAGTACTCGTTTTTCAAATGCAATTGGTGTTTTTAAAAAACATCGAAATATATTAACAATTAGAGTTAATGCTGGGTTGCAAGCAGTTTGCATGTATGTTACATATTGAAAAAACTTACAAAAGAAGAAGAGATTGAGGAGATGTTAACAACAAGAACGCTGATAGAGTTCCAAGCTAAAATGATATCATTGTTTTTCAACCATCCAAATTCTTTGAATGAAGAAGATCTAAAAATTCGTAGGGAATTGAAGAAAAATTTGTAGACAAATGACAAAGTTTTCATTGTTTATATACTTTATAATTGATTATTAGTGTAAGATGAGACATCTATTTGTGTGACATTGTTGTGTGGTGAGTGGTGATTATCCAGTCTATATAGGGATACAGGTGTTTTATTCCTTGTTGATTAATGGGGACCATGTCAAAGTGTGACATAGAAAAGTGTAACAAGGTAACATTCAAAATGTAACATTTTCACACTTTCTCAACAAATGAACATTAGTGTAACATGAGACATGAATATAAATATTTTGTTTGTGTAATATTGTTGTGCGGTGAGTGGTGATTGGTGATTATCCACACTTGTCAGGGATACATGTGTTGTATTCCTTGTTGATTAATGGAGATCATGTCAAAGTGTAACAGGGTAACATTTGAAGTGTAACACTTTCATAGTTTCTCAACAAATGAATATTAGTGTAAGATGAGACATGGATGTACAAATTCTGTTTGTGTGATATTGTTGTGTGATGAGTGGTGATTGATGATTATTCAGACTGTGCAGGGATACAAATGTTTTATTCCTTGTTGATTGGAGATCATGTCAAAGTGTAATATAAAAAAATATAACAAGGTAACATTGAAAGTGTAATACTCTCATACTTTCTCAACAAATGAACATTAGTGTAACATGAGACATGAATGTACATATTTTGTTTGTGTGACATTTTTGTGTGGTGGTTGGTGATTATCCAGACTATACAGGAATACATGTGTTTATTCCTTGTTGATTAATCAAGACCATGTCAATGTGTAACATACAAAATGTAATAGTGTAACATTCAAAGTGTAACACTTTGAATATATCCAATACAATGTTCCAACAGTGTGTTAATTCACTATACAAAACCAGTGTAGGTTGCATACAGACTAATCCATAAAAAAAAAAAATATAACTTACAAAGTGAAAAAATAGCTAAAACAAACAAACCCATCAAAAGAGTGAAAAAACACATTGTAAACAACTTAAAACATTGAACAATGTCATTAAATGATAGCAATAAAACAAGTTTACAATGGCCCATTACAAGATTTTTTGTTGTGACTGCCCAAACGCCTACACTGGCCACAACGAATTCATCTAATGAGTTCGCCCTTAGACCGAATTCTACGATTCTTTAGTCTACCAGATTGCTTCTTGGTAGATGGTGGCAAAATATTAAACTCTCATCACTCTATATAGTTGGTATTANGTGGCAAAATATTAAACTTTCATCACTATATATAGTTGGTATTGGATAAATGAGTTCAGAATATGACATCTTATATGTACTGACATGATAGTAATAATCAATAAATTCGTTGATATTCCGTCCACTCTTTCGTATTATTGACACCGCACGTAAACAAGGGAACCCATTTATTTGTCATTGACAACATGAACACGTGTCATTCATAATATCAACAGTGACCGAAGGATATAATATCACTTCATACACTTGGTTACTCAAAACTTGCACAGTCCAGGACCTCCTCTCATCAAATGTAGCTTGTAATCTCGAAGACATATTAGGGCATAATTCTCATTCCACTCCGAAGCTATTTTCATCATTTGGTCAATTTGATCCATTATATGTCCCCTAATTATGTCAACCACGCTAGTAATAGATAAATGTCAAGCTTCCAAAATTCATGCGTTAAACGATTCTATATTATTAGAACACATCTCACAGTAACGTTTCCCTGTAAAATGAGCATTTGTTCAATGTTCATATGGAAGATTGGACAAGAACTTGTCCACATTAGAACCACCTATACGATGGGAAGTTGAAATCTTCTCATTAAAAAGCGACTGTGTTGGTGTATAAGCACACTCACGTAACAATCTCACCATGTGTTCTCAGAATAAATTGGAAAAACGAGCACCACTCAATTTATCCCGCAAGTTAGCTTTCAAATGCTGCCAGCAAAATGCATGATGAGCATTTGCAAAAAATTTCAGCATTGCCTCTAATAGACCCAAGTTGCGATCAGATACAATCGTAATAACTTGAGCTTGATCCAATATATCAGACACCTGTGCTAAAAATCAAAACTAGTTTGCTTCATTCTCCGAATCAACCATATCAAATTCCAAAGGAAACAAACCTGTAAAAATGAAGCACATAAATATTCGTGAAAAATTAAAATAAAAAATAGTGTAATAGATGAATATGGTGAATGATAATTCTAAAACATTGTTGTGTGGTGAATGTTAATTATCAAAATTGTGTTTGATTACACCATATGTATATACTCACTATTAACTATGTTCATCTCGTAGTGTAACAATGAAAGTGTAACAATATAACAAACAGAATGTAACAAAGATAGTATAACATAACGATTATAACTTAAACCACAATTTTATAATTCAAAAAATTTATTAAATTATACTTTGGTTTCCATTTTTTCCTGTAGCCGATAGAAGATTACTTCTATACATGCCTTTCAAAAATGTGTCAATAAAAAAAAAGTAGTGGATGATAATAATTAAACTCATGAATACATCCCTTAAAGTAGGGGTGACAATCGTGTCGTGTCGTGTTCGGGTCGTGTCATATCGGGTTCAGGTTGAAAACACATCAATCCAAACATGACCTACGAGCTAAATGGGTTAGATCATTTAGACACGAACACGACCTGACTCGAAACACGATTAACCTGACACGACCTGTGACCCGAGATTTACACAGGTCGTGTTCGGGTAAACACGACCCAACCTGCCTCACACAACCCAACCCGACATGACATAACAAAAAAAGGAAAAATTTAGATATGTTACAAATATCTCAAATACAAGTCTACATAAAACAAAGGCTAAAACATCACAAATATCCCAAAAACAAATACAAATCTCCATAATATTACAAATATTCAAAAAGTTTTACTAAAATCCCCAAGCAATATTACAAGCATCTTTTAAATTCTCTTAATCTCTTAAATCTGGCTAACATCAACAATCAAGATCCACTATCCCCTATAAAAAGCCCACATAAAAAGAGTTAGGTTTTATGACTCAACACACATCAACAAACACATAAGATTGAGAAAAAAGAGTTAAGTTTTATGACTCACACACATCAACAATCAAGATCCACAATTACATTTGAACATTGCACCGACGCATCCTCCTCATTTTTGTTCAAAGTCGGATTTATAACATCTTCTATCAGCTCTTCCAATTTTACTTGTGAATTTTCTAAATGACAATAAGGAAAGCATATAAATAAGAATTTAATATTTGTAAAAATATTTAAATATTGCAATCATCACAAATTATATTTATTACATTTTTCTGCACATAATCAATCTCTAGTGCACATCAAGGCCTCCACAACGTGAGGCTTCAAAGCACTACGATATTGGTCAAGAACCCGACCATCAATACTAAAAGCTGATTCTGAAGCAACCGTAGAAATTGGAATCATGAAACCTCAAAATATGAATAACTGAAAGAACATATGAATAATCAAGCATCCATTTAAGCTGACACGGTCTGGTCACAAGAGAGCTACCACTTGCAACTATTTGCTTTTGCCTTTCCTTTTTGTCTTTGTATAATTGTAAGGATTACATTTCTTAACTTTTTGAAGATCATTATAATTTAAAGCCAGCTATCAAAAAGCCTTTTTTTAATCAAGATTGAAGAATTTTATTGCCATCCTCTCTGTGGTGCCTCAACTTCATTGGGTTGCTTGATGATATTTTAGAGGCTGACTCGCTTCTGATGGGTTGAGCTATGCATCAAATGGATCATTGTCCCTTAAACTTTACAAGTCTGAGAGGTCTCTACACCATTTCAAGAANCCTTTTTTTTAATCAAGATTGAAGAATTTTATTGCCATCCTCTCTGTGGTGCCTCAACTTCATTGGGTTGCTTGATGATATTTTAGAGGCTGACTTGCTTCTGATGGGTTGAGCTGTGCATCAAATGGATCATTGTCTCTTAAACTTTACAAGTCTGAGAGGTCTCTACACCATTTCAAGAATTGNCTTGCCATCCTCTCTGTGGTGCCTCAACTTCATTGGGTTGCTTGATGATATTTTAGAGGCTGACTCGCTTCTGATGGGTTGAGCTATGCATCAAATGGATCATTGTCCCTTAAACTTTACAAGTCTGAGAGGTCTCTACACCATTTCAAGAATTGCAGAATTTTCCTGTTGGATGGGTTAATAGAAAACATCTCACATTTTTTATACTAATTAAATTCAAAAGGCAATCCAAAAGGCATCTCTTCACAAATTAATTTTTTTGGCAAAGTCCTCATCTCTTCACAAATTANCTCTACACCATTTCAAGAATTGCAGAATTTTCCTGTTGGATGGGTTAATAGAAAACATCTCACATTTTTTATACTAATTAAATTCAAAAGGCAATCCAAAAGGCATCTCTTCACGAATTAATTTTTTTGGGAAAGTCCTCATCTCTTCACAAATTTATTTTTTTTTCCCTTTTTGCAGGCAATCCAAAAGGCATTTTATTTTCTAGAATTTTGATATACACAAATATCTAGTTGAGAAGTAGCTTAAAAAGGAAAATCTTTGACATCAGGTAAAGGGGGATCATGCCATTATTTGATTACTTCATATTTTTTATGCATGTAAGGTTCAAAATCTTCAGATGATCATGACATAATAGCCTAAATAAATGTAAACACTGCCCACAAAAAATCCATTCTTCTCAACCACCAATTTTTCCCCAATTCTTCACACAAAAAACCCATTCTTCGTAGAGAAAGACGGAGAAAGAGCGAGAGAGAGAGCTTACCTGGTATCGAACCTACTGGTCGTTGACGCCGACGCCAAGCTGAGATCGAGGCAAGAAGGGAGGAAGNGGACTCCTTATTTAGAGTGCTCCTGGTTGGTGTCCTCCTCCTATGCCTTTTGTCTCCTCCGGTGTTTTGTGCATCTGATGATGGACTGTTGAGAGTTGGACTGAAAAAGAGAAAATTGGATGACATCACTAGACTTAGAGGACATTTAGCAACCAAGGAAGGGGAGTCATTGGGAGCTTCCACAAGAAATTATCATCTTCGCGGCAATGTAGGTGATTCAAACACTGATATTGTCACACTAAAGAACTATATGGATGCTCAGTATTACGGAGAGATTGGTATTGGCACTCCCCCGCAAAAATTCACTGTGGTTTTTGACACTGGAAGTTCCAATCTTTGGGTGCCCTCTGCAAAATGTTATTTCTCGGTGAGTTTTTATTCACTGATTTTTTAAAGTTCCTTAAAAGAGTTTTACCCACTCTTTTTTTTCGTAGCAATCCTCACTTAGCATATGGATGCAGGTTGCTTGCTATTTGCATTCCTACTACAAGTCAAGCCATTCGAGTACTTACAAGAAGAATGGTGTGGTTCCACTTGCTGGTTCTTTTAATTACTTGGTTACACTATCATTATCAATTTTGTTACCTCTTTTATTGTTTTTATTTTTTTGGTAATGTTGGTCAGTTATTAGTGATCTAGTCATCAGGTAAACTGAAAATGTCTGTAGATGATTGAATCTTATATTTAAATGAATGTGGTTGAAGAGGTCCAAAGTGGTCTATATTTGGACAAAAAATGTTTTTTCTTAAATGAAGTCAAACACAAGGGTAGCCTGATGCAAATTGAGGCATAAAATAATGTTTTAGATGAGAGCCTTAAAACATTGTGCATACTTACGACTAGGTTTGTCAAGGATCAAATTTCAATCAAGGTTCGTGTTATTTGAATCCGCATTTGATTACAATATCTCTATTGATAGAGTTGGAAATTTGATCATATCAGAATAAATTAGTTTAGCTTGGTCACCAAATTGCATCTAATTTTCAATTCAATTTATCAATAATTGCTTAATTTCATCATATACTTACATATTTATTTATATAAGCGGATTAATTTGTGAAATATGACATCGAATTCAAGTAATCTGTGAAAAAGACCTATCCATATCGACATTGGCATTGTAGTCCCTTTCTCAATAGTGGGCTTTGGAGAAGAAATTGGATAGAGAAAGATAGCGGCAGAGGGAAGGTGAGAGGGAAGGAGAATCAAATAGAGTTGTGTTAATTGGTGAGAGGAGAGGAGATCATCTAGGGGCCCAAAAGAAAATTGGGTTTAATTGAATCTGGGTCTACAAATTTTGTTTTGAGTCTTTTAAAAGATTAGGCTTAATTGAACTTAGCTTATTTAGAAGAGAGAGAGAGAGAGAGAGGGAGAGAGAGAGGGAGAGAGATTATTAGATTTTTAAAAGATTAGGCTTAAGAACAAAATTAGNAAGAGAGAGAGAGAGAGAGAGAGAGAGAGAGAGAGAGAGAGATTATTAGATTTTTAAAAGATTAGGCTTAAGAACAAAATTAGACTTACTTGGACTAGGGTGACATGGTCTAAAACATTCTTTCCAAGTCTAAAAACAAAATTGTGTTCAACTAACCTGTGTCTTAAAGGTTTATGGGCCCAAGCAGCCTGGCTTTAGGGCCAACCTAGTCAAATCCAGAAGTCAAAACAACAAATAATCATGTGAACAAGAAACGTGTTATTACCATAGGCCTCACTAATGTGGAAAGGGTTTCGTCCTTATACCTATGATCCGTGGTTGTTGTGTTCTTTATTCGTTATCTATGAATTACGGACACTTTCAAGAAGGTGACATATCCATGTCGGACGCCAACACTCCTCANGAAAGGGTTTCGTCCTTATACCTATGATCCGTGGTTGTTGTGTTCTTTATTCGTTATATATGAATTACGGACACTTTCAAGAAGGTGACATATCCATGTCGGACGCCAACACTCCTCGGACACGTGTCTCTTTTATCTGTGTTCAAAATTAAATGATAAAATCTTAATTTCGGGCATGCGTCCGACATTTTTTTGGTAACGTGTCCGACACTTCTTTGATAAAGACTATATCTACTATTATTAAACAATAAACATGTGTTCATATGTGACTAATAAAATTTAAAATTTTGACTAATAAGGATTTATACTATGAGAGAACATATAATTCCCAAGATTAGACATATTAAAGTTGTACTCAAAATATAATAATAAAAGTAAAACATGCATAAAAGTTTTAAATAAGAGAAAATGAGAGCAATCATTTGACCTATGTTGGGTACACGTTGTTTACAAAAATCATTTATGATTATTTAACTATTATGATACTTTAGTCAAAATTCACACTAGATGACTAGACATATCGTGTCTAAAAAATTCTATTTTTTTAAGAAATGTCGTGTCTATGCTTCCTAGTTCTTTATCAAGTTCGCAACATTTTATTCTGTTTAGGTAACTCTCCATTTTCTAGTTTCTCTATGAAAACTCTTAGAGAAATTTGTATTTCTAGTGAGATTGTGTATTAATGGACTCCATCATCTTTAGTACTAGAATATGACGTATATTACATTTTCCCTTTCTTCCATTTTTTTTTCCCAAAAAATTACTAGTCTAGCTTTTCTTATGAAAGGAGTGTAAGAGATATTAAATATATTAGGTGTCTGAAGAGTGAATATTAGTGAGTGTTCATTAAGGATGAAGAATTATAGCAAAGGTGAAAAATTGTTGTTAAAAGTTGGAAAGTGAAAAGGTACAAAAATTCAGAGGATGAAGGTGGGTAGCCCTAGGAGGAACTAAAGAAAATAACAAGGGTGTTCAATGTAAAAATTGCAATAAAGAAGATGAAATTATGTTAGGCTTTCGGCCTTGAGGGTATTTGTATTAAGGCTTGGAACTTAAGAGAAAGAAGAATGTTTTGGCCTATAAAATATCTTAATAAGATTATAGAAAATTCAACACCTTTAATGAGTAAAGATCGAGTATTCTAGAAGCCACATATAAAGAAAAGACTTTCAAAGTTGTATCAACTATTAAGGTACTAAAGTGATGAGTTACATAGCATGGTTGTGGGATAGAGTGGTTAAGCATGATTAGGAATTGCAACAATAGTTTTAAATCATTGCATTTTGTTTTATGTCTAGCAGGTCAACTATGAAGTTACATAATTATTGGGGAGACTAATAGAAAAAGTAAAACAGAAGAAGGAGAATCTTCATAGGCTTTGTGTAGATTTAGTAAATCCTTATTGTAGGGTTTCTAGATATATATAGACCACCAGCTCGGGTATGTTAAAGACAAAATAAAAACAAAGAAAAGTATTGATGATTTCAATTTTAGTATTTAATCATTAATTTGTTTCAATTTACATGAAAATGAAATATTTTGGTTAAAAAAGAATGAAATTTTGATCCCAAAAGGAGTAGGTTATGAAGCCGCCTTTAGGTGGGCTATTTAGGGGACTGATTTTTATCTGGGTTTGTAAAATTTCTAACCCTATGGGAATGCGGACTTGCAAAACAAATGAACATACACATTCCAAGTAAAAGGAAGTCATTCCCAAAGTTAACTCACATATCCTTTAAAGCATTTAACTCGAAACTAAAAGTTTTAACAAGTAGGTACATTATTTGGTTCTTTTTTACAATTCTCTTAGATGATGTTACTTGGCAATATTAGAGGTATCATAATAAGTGATGAAATTTAATTTATATTATTATCAAATGTATGTGTAGATAGTTTTTTTATTGCCCATGGCTTTGTTTTTTATGCAGGCAAATCTGCTGCAATTCAATATGGAAGCGGATCTATTTCAGGTTTCTTCAGCCAAGACTCCATCAAAGTTGGTGATCTTGTTGTTAACAATCAGGTAATTCCCAGGCAAATGAGCATTCTGAACATCGTTGATTCAGTAGTATAGTTACAGTTTTACTGTTAAGAAACTTCTGGTCAGTAGGATTTTATCGAGGCAACGAAAGAGCCAAGCATCACATTCGTGGCAGCAAAATTTGATGGCATACTTGGGCTTGGATTTCAGGAGATCTCTGTGGGAAATGTTGTTCCTCTCTGGTATGTTAGTGCATCCTGCAAAGACAACTACTTGATCAAAAACCTGATACACTCTTGCCTTTTCCCCTTATTGTATTCCATTCCGTCATTATAAGATTGATCTTGCTGATAGACCTTTCGTTTTGAAGAATGGATTTCTTTTTTTCTTCCGAACATTTATACTCATGACAGCATAATGATATTTTGTGTTGAGATATTTTCAATATGTCTAGGTACAATATGGTCAATCAAGGTCTTGTTAAAAAACCAGTTTTTTCCTTTTGGTTTAATCGCAATGCTGACGAGGAAGAAGGGGGTGAAATTGTCTTTGGTGGGGTTGATTATAGTCATTTCAAGGGTGAGCACAACTATGTTCCTGTGACCGAGAAAGGCTATTGGCAGGTGGGCCTTCTTAGACTTCCTAATTGTTTGCCATGAGTAATCATGTATCAACATACTAAACTTTATATTTTTTGTTGAATTTTATTGTTTCTCCTATTTCAGTTTGACATGGGTGATGTCCTAGTTGATGGTGAAACAACTGGTAAGTTTATGGAGCCCCTGTTTGTCCTTGCTAGAAGACATTGAATGAGGTTTTCCGCTTCATATCAAATCATTGGAGCAAGTTGTGCTTCTTATGCTCTTGAGAGATAACTCTTTCCTCTTTTAGGGTTTTGTTCTGGTGGCTGTTCAGCAATTGCCGATTCTGGAACCTCTTTGTTGGCAGGACCAACGGTATGTATTATGTGCAGACAACATGTATTTAAGCATTAAATAAGTTTGAGTTGGTATTGTTGAATTTAAGTTGGTTGGTTCGGGCATGCCTGTCAGTTTTATTTGTAAATGGAAACAGATAAATGTTTTAATAAATTTTTCTAAGTTCTTGTTATTGTCAAATTGGTCATGGATGATTTTGTACCCTTCTTCGCCATGCTTTTACAGTTTTACATTAATTTCTGGTTTGGTATTGTACATCTGGAAATATCCTGCAGATGCACAAACACATACACAAATTTTCATGCATATGTATGCTTTACATATTTGTATGCATACATAGTTTAAGTATGTTGTGGGACATAATGAAGCACCCTTGTCATCTTGTAAAGTAATTTGTAGAAGGTACAAATGCGTCATTACGTCCGTAGTTTGGTTGGATCAATTTAATTTAAGTTTGTTAAGACTAGTAGGGTAGTATGTGTAAATTGTTAATAGTAAGAGGTGTATGTGTAATTCTTATTATTGTAGGTTAATTATAAATACAAGTGATGTATGAGAGATAGGTTATGTTTTTAACCACTCTCAATTTTCTCTTTAATATTGTGTTAATTTTCTAAACTTAACATGGTATCAGAGCCTAGTTTAATCCTAAATATACTTTGAAAATAAATTAACTCGAATTGTTTCGATGGTACTGTTGATCGTCGAAGCTACAACGGTGGTGGTAGTGATACGAATGTTGTAGCTCTGTGTACAGTTTGTCATTGTTGCTGTTTGCCGTTGTTGGTGGTGGTGTGGTACTGTGTTCGTCGTTCACTGTGTGTGGTGGTGTTGTCGATGGTGGTCTGTTGTGGTGTTGTCGAAATTCGTTGGTGGTCTATGGTGGTGTTGTCGAAATTCGTTGTGTTGTCGAATTTCGTCGTTGTTCACTGTGTTGTGATTGATTGTCGTCGTCTGTGGTGTGGCTATTGTGGTGGCTTGTTGTTCATCGTTGGTGGTGAGGCGCAATTGCAGCAAAGGGTTCTTTGGAACCCTAACCAACGAAGAAGACAAAGCCCAACCCCGACCCACTTCGGGTCAACCTAGATCTGACCCAACCTTGGTTTGGTCTCGGTTCAGCCCCCTATCTGTGTTTTAGACCGATTTAGACCGGTTCAGACAGTTTTGACTCGGGTTTAGTGCTCCAACAAGTAAAATTGGCCCGGTTCAGTGCTCCAGCAAGCCAAACCGGCTCAGTTCAGTGATCCAGCAAGCCAAACCGGCCTGGTTCAGTGATCCAACTAGCTTTTCTACCCCGGTTCAGTGATTCAGTAGCCTTTTCTTCTCCGGTTCAGCGGTCCAGTACCCTTTTCTGCTCCGGTTTAGTGATTCAATTGCCTTTTCTTCTTCGGTTTAGTGGGCCAGTACCCTTTTCTGGTCCGGTTCAGCGGTCCAGTGGACTTAACTGATCCGGTTCAGTGTTCCAGTGAGATTTTCCAGTCTAGTTTGGTGATCCAGCAACCTTTTCTTCTTCGGTTCAGCAGTGCAGTAGGTAATTCTTGTCCGATTCAGTGAGCTAGTGATTTCTCTTTTCTATTTGCTGCACTTATGGAACTCGAGCAAGACACGGGGTTGATTACTATTACACGAGAAGAGTATGTTCAGTTCCCAGCAACAGGTTGTCCTATCTCCCTCCACTGCTATTTTTGCCTAGTCAGATAATGCTTCCACTTGTTTATTGTCTTCCAATCGCAGTCCCTGGATCATAAACTCTGGTGCTTCTGACCACATGACTGATGTGTTTGATATTTTTTTTACTTATCAGTCTGCTACTTCCACACGTAGTATTACTCTTGCTAATGATACTTGTTCTCAAGTTTCAGATTTGGGGACTACTAACTTGAGTCCTGATATGTCCATATCTTCCGTATTATTTGTTCCTCAATTTCTTTTTAGTTTACTCTCTATTAGCAAGATTACCTGTTCTCTCAATTGTTCTGTAACTTTTTATCTCTCTTATTGTGTCTTTCAAGATCTCAAGACGAAGAGGAAGATTGATACAGGGCATGAAGATGGTGGACTATATTACTTTGATTTTGATTCACCTACTCGGACTTTACAGACCTCGCTGTCTCCTTTTCAGTGGCATTGTCGTCTTGGACATCCCTCTCTTCAGAATCTGAAGCGCCAAGTTCCCTAGTCTTAGTTGTGTGGCATTTCAGTCTAGAGTCAATAATCGTGTGTCTAGTCCATTTGAGTTGGTACATTTTGATGTATGGGGTCCAATAAAAAATATTTCGTCTAATAAATATCCTTATTTCGTGCCGTTTGTGGATGACTATTCTTGTGTGACATGGTTGTTTTTGATANCAATAAAAAATATTTCGTCTAATAAATATCCTTATTTCGTGCCGTTTGTGGATGACTATTCTTGTGTGACTTGGTTGTTTTTGATAAAAGCTCGGTCTGAATTATTCTCTATTTTTGAGACCTTTCGTAAGGAAATAAAAACTCAGTATGCTTGTCGTATTCGTATTTTATGTTCTGATAATGCTCGGGAAAATGAATCTGATCCTTTTTCAGCTTATCTTAGTAAAACTAACATTATTCTTCAGACTTCTTGTGCTTACATATCTCCACAGAACGGTGTTGCTGAACGCAAAAATCGTCATTTGTTGGAAGTCACCCGTGCTCTGTTGTTCCAGATGAATATTTTTCGATAATTTTGGAGTGATGCTATTCTTACTGCTTGTCACCTTCTTAATCGTATGCTATCCTCTGTGTTAAATGGGCAAAATCTATATTCTGTCCTTTTTCCTGGTAAACCCTTATTTTTCCTAGCTCCTAAGGTTTTTGGATGTGTCTGTTATGTTCAAAATTTAGGTCCTGAGTTTGATAAACTTGACTTTCGAGCTATCAAATGTGAATTTCTTAGTTATTCCTGCACACAGAAGGGGTACCGTTGCTACAGTTTTTCTCTGCGATAATACTTTACTAGTGCCGATGTCACGTTTGAGGAATCTGTTTCATATTTTTCAGCACCTTCTTAGCCTTTGGATCTGAACTTTGGGTTATCTTTTGTACTACCATCTCTTCCCTCATCTTCAGATATTCCGCTGTCCACTGTGTTACCATCTATTTTACCTCTCCGTGTCTACTCTCGCCGTCCTCGCCCATCGACTGAGGTGCACGTACCATCTTCTTTGCCGCCTTCTGATCCTGATACATCAGGTAATTTAGACTCTTTACCTATTGCTCTTCGTAAAGGTACTCGTTCGTGTGTTACTCATCATCCCATTTCTCATTTTGTTTCATATGATGCCTTGTCTCCTGTCTTCTCCAGTTTTACTTCCCAATTATCTGCTATATCTATTCCTAAGCATTTACAGGATGTAATATTTGATCCGGGTTGGTGGAAAGCTATGGAGGAGGAGATGGATGCTTTACATCATAATGAGACTTGGGATCTCATTCTTTTACCCCTTGATAAACGAACTGTTGGCTGTCGTTGGGTGTATACTGTTAAATTTCGTCCAGATGATTCTGTGGAGCGTCTCAAAGCCCAACTTGTTGCAAAAGGCTTTACTCAGACTTATGGTGTTGATTATGAGAAGATTTTTTCTCCTGTTGTCAAAATTTCTTCTGTTCGTATCTTGATTTCTTTGTCTGCTGATCTTGATTGACCCTTGTTTCAGTTAGACATCAAGAATGCCTTCCTATATGGTAACTTGGTTGAAGAGGTATACATGGAGTAGCCACCTGGGTTTACTGCTCAGGGAGAGTATGGTAAGAGTGCATGTCGGTTAAAGAAATCTTTGTATGGTTTGAAGTAGTCACAAAGGGCATGGTTTGGTAAGTTTTCAGATGCAGTTTTAGAGTTTGGTCTTCTTTGATTTCAGACAGATCATTCTGTGTTTCATAGACAGACAGATGCTGGATATGTCCTATTGGTGGTCTACGTAGATGATATTGTGATTACTGGAAATGATTCTGAGGGGATTGCCAAGTTAAAAATATTCTTACAGGATCGATTTCATACTAAGGATTTGAAAAAACTCAAGTATTTCTTGGATATTGAGGTGGTTCGATCTAAACAAGGTATTTGTTTATCCCAGAGGAAATATGTACTTGACATGTTTGAGGAAGCAGGTTTGCTGGGTGGTAGACCGATTGATGTTCCTATGGATCCGAATCAGAAATTATTGATGGATAATAGTGCATTGTTTGAGAATCCGGGTCGATATCGCAAATTGGTTGGGAAGCTTAACTATCTCACTATTACTTGATCGGATATTTCCTATGCAGTTAGTATAGTAAGTCAGTTAATGGGATGTCCTAGAGTACCACATTGGGAAACAGTTACTCATATTCTGCGATATCTCAAATGAGCTCCTGGACTTGAACTGTTATATCGAGCTAATGGACATCTTAGAGTGGAAGGTTTCTTAGATGTTGATTGGGCTGACTCTCATTCTGATCGGAGATCAAACATTGGTTATTGTACTTTCTTAGGAGGTAATGTTGTCTCGTGGAAAGTAAGAAACAACCCATGGTAGCAAGATCCAGTGCTGAGGCTGAATATAGGGTAATGACACATACGACGAGTGAGTTGACTAGACTACTTCACTTCATCCAAGAAATTGGGTTTGCAGTTCAACTTCCTTTACAGTTGTTCTGTGACAACCAGACAGCTATCCATATCGCTGCCAATTCTGTGTTTCACGAGAGAACCAAATATATTGAGGTTGATTGTCACTTTATTCGGGACAAGATAGTAGCGGGGAGAATTACAACTCCATTTGTGAAATTTGAAGATCAGCTTGCAGATATGTTTACGAAAGCATTGAACCGTACACGTCTTACAGCTATTTGTTCCAAGCTTAGATTATATGATATATATAGTCTAGCTTGAGAGAGAGTGTTAAAAATAGTAGAANACCAAAGCATTGAACCGTACACGTCTTACGGCTATTTGTTCCAAGCTTGGATTATATGATATATATAGTCTAGCTTGAGGGAGAGTGTTAAAAATAGTAGAATAGTACGTGTAAATTGTTAATAATAAGAGGGTGTATGTGTAATTCTTATTATTGTAGGTTAATTATAAATACAAGTGATGTATGAGAGCTAAGTTATGTTTTTAACCACTCTCAGTTTTATCTCTAATATTGTGTTAATTCTCTAAACTTAACAAAGCTCAGTGAAATTTGCTGTGAATTTATCCCTAAATGTTTCGAAATCCTGGAACTGGGTCACGTGACATTAGTGCTTATTGTCTTTTCAAGCGCTTAAAAAAATTGTTAGACTTATAAAGATGTCTGTTTAGGTGGCCACCTACATTGTGAACTTCTGTTGGACAAATGGAGTGTCAGACTACAGAAAGCAAGAACCTTTGCTAAATACCTATTTTCCATGTACACCATCAAAAAATCATATCTACAAGAATAAGCTGCTACCATCAATAGAAAAAGTGTTCAGAATTGAGCTTTTAAGCCCCTCTGGCTTTCGCATTCCTCTCTTTGCTTTGACTTGATAATTGACCTGGTTATTTTCTAAGAGTAAGAAATCATTACTAAAATGGCTGTGTAGCACAAATTACTCATTTTTACTCAAGGTTCCAACTATTGCTTACCANGGCTGAATATAGGGTAATGACACATACGACGAGTGAGTTGACTAGACTACTTCACTTCATCCAAGAAATTGGGTTTGCAGTTCAACTTCCTTTACAGTTGTTCTGTGACAACCAGACAGCTATCCATATCGCTGCCAATTCTGTGTTTCACGAGAGGACCAAACATATTGAGGTTGATTGTCACTTTATTCGGGACAAGATAGTAGCTGGGAGAATTACAACTCCATTTGTGAAATTTGAAGATCAGCTTGCAGATATGTTTACCAAAGCATTGAACCGTACACGTCTTACGGCTATTTGTTCCAAGCTTGGATTATATGATATATATAGTCTAGCTTGAGGGAGAGTGTTAAAAATAGTAGAATAGTACGTGTAAATTGTTAATAATAAGAGGGTGTATGTGTAATTCTTATTATTGTAGGTTAATTATAAATACAAGTGATGTATGAGAGCTAAGTTATGTTTTTAACCACTCTCAGTTTTCTCTCTAATATTGTGTTAATTCTCTAAACTTAACAAAGCTCAGTGAAATTTGCTGTGAATTTATCCCTAAATGTTTCGAAATCCTGGAACTGGGTCACGTGACATTAGTGCTTATTGTCTTTTCAAGCGCTTAAAAAAATTGTTAGACTTATAAAGATGTCTGTTTAGGTGGCCACCTACATTGTGAACTTCTGTTGGACAAATGGAGTGTCAGACTACAGAAAGCAAGAACCTTTGCTAAATACCTATTTTCCATGTACACCATCAAAAAATCATATCTACAAGAATAAGCTGCTACCATCAATAGAAAAAGTGTTCAGCATTGAGCTTTTAAGCCCCTCTGGCTTTCGCATTCCTCTCTTTGCTTTGACTTGATAATTGACCTGGTTATTTTCTAAGAGTAAGAAATCATTACTAAAATGGCTGTGTAGCACAAATTACTCATTTTTACTCAAGGTTCCAACTATTGCTTACCATAAAAACAAGGTTCACGAGTAGAAAACAGATGCATTCACAATGCAGTCACACCCCCAATACTAAGCCCCAAAACACATAAGCCACTTAATGGTTTGCCTACACCTGCATCTGAGGTCATGTAATGCAGGTCTTCACTTAGGCTCCCTATGACACCTAGTTGTGGTGTCAATTTCCCAGGGGGTTAGTGATTGCGGACTGTCCTACTTATTGTAGCTTTTTGTGCGTTTTTACCAGAGTAATATGGTATATTTCCAAGTGGATAGGGACAATGTAAAGGCATTATGCATATGCCTTATTGTTGTACTTTTAGGATTATACTGTGTCATATCTCATCTGTATTTGTTTGATATGTTTTTTTCTTGAGGATTCTTTGGATATTTTGTTTCATTAAACAGTTGGGGTAGAGTAACAGCTCTGGCATATTCTATGTACATGCATCAGCTGTCTTTCTGTGCACATCCTCATTTTTCTGGTAATCCGTGATCATCTGTCTTCCATAAATGCGCAACCTGCGATTAATACCTTTCAACAATTATTATATTTTCAGACTGTGATTGCTCAAATTAATCATGCCATTGGAGCTTCAGGGGTTATAAGCCAGGAATGCAAGTCAGTGGTCACCCAATATGGGAAAAACATTTTGGAACTTCTATTGTCTGAGGTAAACTATCATATATGGTTTCAATTTCTTCTTCTTTATTTTGACTATTTCTTGTTTTTGGGACAAATTACCACATTTCTGTGTGATTGATTATAAGGGAAAAAATTCGTCTGCTATTATCTGGTTAATCACTTCTGCCACATTTTATTTTAGATTGACCACACAATATGACTGATTTCTGGTTTAAATGGTGGTGTTTCACAGGTACAAGCCCAAAAGATATGCTCCCAAATTGGTCTATGCTCTTATGATGGTACTCGAGATGTTAGGTCAGGTTCAACTTCTTGTCTTATTTGCATTATAAAGATGAAAAAATAGTAATAGTATTACAATTTAAGCATCACTATACATCCACTTCATATTATTATTGTAAAAACAACTTCATCATTATTACCCTCAATTGTTGCAATCGTAAGTTAGTTACTACTCACTACTAAACAAACCCTTCTCTCAGTATTTTTGGGGTCGGTTACATGAATCATGTTTTGCCATTGTGCTCCATTAAGGGCTGTTGCAATCACAAGTTATTAGTCTCAAGTTTGCCCTTTTCTACAACTTATTTTTGTTTTACAAGTTCTAAAATGGTAAAATGGTAGCAACTGTTTTTGCAGTGATTATTTCATCAAATGTTGTTTCTTTTTTATTGTGAGTTTGTCAGCAATATAAATTTGAGCCACTAATAAATTCCGATGATCTGTGTACAGTATGATTATAGAGAGCGTGGTGGACAAGGGCAGTGATAAGCCTTCTGGTGCTCTGCATGACCAGATGTGTACCGCTTGTCAAATGGCAGTTGTGTGGATGCAAAATCGACTTAAGCGAAATGAGACAGAAGAAAAAATCTTGGACTATGTCAATCAGGTGGAGTATAGCTTCTGCATCTTATTTTTCTCAAAAAAGTTGATTTGCTGTGGGCTCAACCCTTGAGTTTGACTGCAGCTCTGTGAACGACTGCCTAGTCCAAATGGAGAATCAGCTGTTGACTGTAGCAATCTGTCTTCAATGCCCAGTGTTTCCTTTACCATTGGTGGTAAAGTATTTAACCTCCCCCCTAAACAGGTAATCATAATTAGCATCTATATGGACATTAAACCGATACTTGTGCTTCATTGTTCTTTCGACGTTTTGGTTATCGTATATTGGAGTTCACTTTGACAATTTGTTGTAGACTTTTTGGTACATGGCTAATATATTGTTGAAGGTGAGAGCATTTTAATGAATGGCTGTTAGGCAATTTGTTGTACCTTGATGCACCACATTGTTTGCACTTTCAAGTATCTCTACTTGGTTGGGCCCCCGCCCGGGGGGGGGGGGGGGGGGGGGGG